ATATATATATATATATATATATATATATATATATATATATATATATAGATAGATAGATAGATAGATAGATAGATAGATATATATATATATATATATATATATATATATATATATATATATATATATATATATAAACAATCCGGCCATAAGATATAAAAAAATTCAGCCAAACTTGTTGAAAAATTAAAAGGAATAAATATAACTGGCAAACTGTTAAAGAATTCTTAAATCTTAAAAAAAGGATTCTAGGCTAATCAAAAATAATCCTCTACTGAACAATAGCTAAAGCCATAAAAATATGACGTTTCAAAAAATCAATGTTTTCGCATCTAACAATCTTTTCTATGAATTTGGATTACCGACGGGGTCGCCTCTAAGTGCAGTAATGTCATGCATTTTCTTGGATTTTCTTTCCAAAATATTTTCCCTAAACAATCAACATATTTCCGATATATCGATATCGCCCTATTAAGATATCTCGCAAAATAAATTTACCTGACCAAAGTAAAGAAAGTTGAATATACGGTGGAATATTTTAATTTTCCAAGGAATCATGTTACATTGTGCTAAGAATAGTCTAAATGTATTTATTAATTGATTTGCCATTGCAAATCAACTAATAATTTTGATTAAATGGTCTCATAAATTTCTATTTTCACCACAACAGCAACATAAAATCTGGAATATCATCGGATTCTCAGTAAGAGCACTCAGAATTTGCATGAAGAGGCGAATACATTGAATCACCTTCGATATCGTAATTATTTCATATTCATCGCGAAACAAAATTCACATAACATATTTGAAAATAGAAAAGTCTCCCCTCCTGACAAATCGAACGAATTAAAATATATTGTTCTCCCCATCAGCTCTATCACAACTAGAATTGAGAAGAATTTATATAAACTCTACATAACATTGGTTACAACTACACTTAACACAAAGACTTAATTAAAACAAAACAAAATAAGTTAGAATAGGAAGAGGAATTTAACTATCGTCGGTAATGATTGCTACAAGGAATATATAGGAGAAACCTCACAGAATTTAAATAAAAGATATATGAACAAAAGGATCTTTTATAAAACAAAATTGGAAGCGAAAGGAATATGAAAATGAGAGAGAGACAGGGAGAGACAGAGATAGTGGATCGAATCGAAAACATTTCGGAATTCTTTCTGTAGCGAAAAAATTTGTGATGGGTCGGGGGTCAAAAAATGCAGTGCTCGACAGCAGGCCAGCTGTTTTTTTCTTTCTTCTTCTCATTCGGTCCTCTCAAGGAAATGGATTGCGTGACTCCCTTTCTCGGCCGTTACACTGGGCAGTTGTGAAACAGACACCAAGTCAACCGCGCCTACTTCAACTTCCTCTTTGTCCGTCTGTCAATTCGTACGTCCAGCTCTATTGCACGCAGTCCGCCGGATGACTCCCGATTCAGTCGTGCTGCTGGCATCCCGCTTTTTATGCTATTCCAACACGGCCAAAATTTGCATGTGTGCAAATATCGTCTCGTTTTGGACGAGATCGGCGCGCATAAATTGCGTCTTCAATAGCGGCCATATTTCTTTTTTGTTATCACTTTTATGGTGGATTGAGTGACGACGGGCGAGTTTTTATGGTGAATGTGGAAATTGTAATGAGTGAATGTGTCGTGATCGGATTAGCTAGGTATAGGATAGTTAGTGTCGACCAGCTTCAACTCATCCCCATTTTAGGTCATGTGACGCAATTATATTTTTTAATACAATAAATACCCTTTTTATCATCACTTTGCAGGCAAGACACGTTCGCGCTCGTTTCATATTCTGGGGTAAGTCATGTCACACATTCCAAGATAGGTTGATAGAAAGAGGCAGTGGGTTAGGGTTAAGGTCCTCTATCTCCAAGCCGCTCCATCCAGAGCATTAGAAGCCGGTTCAAGCAACTATATACAAGTGAAAGAAATTATAAGGAAGATTTGAGATAATTATATTAAGTAATTCATCGAGCCTCGAAGAAACCTCAACAGAATGCAGAAAGCACTGGACGGCCATTTCGTCTTATATTTGTAAGTACATCAGCAGTGCGCATCCACTATCGAGAATTGAAATCCGGCAAACGTCATACCAACTGTACCAACGGGCCTCGGTGCTAAAGAGGTAGCGAATTAGATTCGATATAGCGTCGCTCGATCACATATTCCGTGGTGGAACTCATCCGAGTTTCCCTTACCCAGAGGACCCACGAGCCACGACTACTATCCCCAAGCCGCTCCATCCAGAGCTTTAGAAGCCCGTTCAAGCAACGATATACAAGTGAAAGAAACTAACTCATCGAGTCTACAAGAATCCTCAGCAGAATACAGAAAGCACTATATTTGGGACTCTTCACAAATTACGTGGTGTAACTTATCTGAGTTTCCCTAAGCCAACGGACTGTACCCCCACGAGGCACGTGTCCTATCCCCAAGCCACTCCATTCAGATCTTTAGAAGCCGGTTCAAGCAAGGATATCCGCCTAATAATTTCTATACTTGTATATCCGTCCAGTGCTTTCTGCATTCTGTTGAGGATTCTTCTAGACTCGATAAATTATTTATGATTATCTCAAGTCCTCCTAATATTTTCTCACACTTGTATATCCTTGATTGAACCGGCTTCTAATGCTCTGGATGGAGCGGCTTGGGGAGAGTAGTTGTAGCTCGTGGAGGCACAGTCCTATGTGTAAAGAGAGACTCACATGACTTCCACCACGGAATATGTGATCGAGCGGCGCTATATCGAGTCTGATTCGTCACCGAGGCCCGTTGGTACAGTTGGTATGACGTTTGCCCAATAACGTAACTGTTCGGGTTTCAATTCTCGTTAGTAGATGCGCACTGCAGATGAGTCCCAAATATAGGACGAAACGGCCGTCTAGTGCTTTCTGCATTCCGTTGAGGATTCTTCTAGACTCGATGAATTATTTACGATTATCTCAAGTCCTTCTAATATTTTCCCTCACTTGTATATCCTTGCTTGAACCGGCTTCTAATGCTCTGGATGGAGCGGCTTGGGGATAGTAGTCGTGGCTCGTGGGTCCTATAGGTAAGGGAAACTCGGATGAGTTCCACCACGGAATATATGAACGAGCGACGCTATATCGAGTCTGATTCGCGGCCTCTTTAGCACCGAGGCCCGTTGGTACAGTTGGTATGTCGTTTGCCTGATTTCAATTCTCGATAGTGGATGTGCACTGCTGATGTAGTTCCAAATATAGGACGAAATGGCCGTCCAGTGCTTCCTGCATTCTGTTGAGGTTTCTTCTAGACTCGATGAATTAATTAATTATAATCATCTCAAATCTTCCTTATAATTTCTATCACATGTATATCCTTGCTTGAACCGGCTTCTAATGCTCTGGATGGAGCGTCTTGGGGATAGTAGTCATATTGGTAAGGGAAACTCGGATGAGTTACAGCACGGAATTTGTGAACGAACGGCGCTATATCGAATCTGATTAGTTACCTCGTCTTCACCTAGGCCAGTTGGTACAGTTGGTATGACGCTTGTGTCGTATCGTAACAGTCTCGGTTCAATCCCTGGTAGTGGATACGCACTGCTGACGTGTCCCAAATATAGGACGAAATGGCCTTCCAGCGTATTCGGCATTCTTTTAAGGACTCTTCTTATCATAACGGTCCCAGTGCATACGCACTGCTGATTTGTCCCAAATATATTTCTGAATTCTGTTGAATTCTTCTAGACTCGATGAATTACTTAATTATGATTATTTCAAATCCTCGCAACAAATTCACACACACGCATATTATATATATATATATATATATATATATATATATATATATAAAACTTTGGATATAAAAGAGTTGTCGGTACCGGAGAAGAAGTCTCTTATATCCGGGTTTGGTCTATTTTTATATACATTAACACAAGCTCTAATTTGGGACCATAGAAAATCTCTTATATCCGGGTTACACTGTATATATATATATATATATATATATATATATATATATATATAATAAAAAGGCTTAAACACTAATATTCCATGGTCATAATTTATTCCATTGGAATCGTAAATCGTATGTATATTTACCACTAATATTATCTATCTATCTATCTATCTATCTATCTATCTATATATATATATATATATATATATATATATATATGTATACCCAAGTATATAATTGGCGTATACGGAATGAATTCCAATTACTATTCTTAAAAGAGTGCTCAATTCAAAGTAGAGCAGATATAATAATGTTTTATAAAAAAAAAAAATTATAACATAAATATGTTATAAAATCACTACAAAAAATAGCCATTTTGTTTCAGGGGTGTTGAAACTAAATGGCTATTTTTTGTAGTGATTTTATAACATATTTATGTTATACATTTAAAAATAAAAATATATATATATATATATATATATATATATATATATATATATATATATATATAGAGAGAGACGTTGATTTGAGAAGTTCTCTGACAAAATCAGGAATTAAAACGAATGCTTAGTTATTTTTGTTCGATTTCGGGAAGTGGGTTGAATCGAAAACATTTCGGCACTCACCTTGTTGCAGGTAAGTATGTACATATGTATATAGCTAGTTAGGTAGGTAGGTAAGAAGAGGATGAGAGAGAGGAAAAATATGAGAGAGACATAAATCGAAACACAAATTGAGAGAAGAGTGAGAGGGATTAGAGATTGGCACCGCTTGATAAATGGATCGATTTCGAGCCAATAGATCGATTACCGAGACAAACTGTCGGGTGTTGTAGAAACATGATATGAGCATTTCGGAATTCTCTTGAAGGAATGGTTCTTGCAGACGGAAGAAGATGAATGGCTGCAAGTCAGAAAGGTAAAGAATTAATGGACATAATCGAAAAACAAATGATATTCATCTAATCGTAAAATCGATCATTCAATCAATTAATCGAATCAGATATCCTTCGATCCGTGAGTCAAGGTATCAATTTGTATATTAAGTTATAAATATTTATTTTATCATGATTACATTTGTCAGAAATCTATCTATCTATCTATCTATCTATCTATCTATCTATCTATCTATCTATCTATCACTTTCTCTCAGTCTTTTCATATCTATCTATCTGCTCTTTCACTCGGTGTTTTATATCTATCTATCTATCTATCTATCTATCTATCTATCTATCTATCTATCTATCTATTTCAATCGCTTCATATCTATCTATCTATCTATCACTTTCTCTCAGTCTTTTCATATCTATCTATCTGCTCTTTCACTCGGTGCTTTATATCTATCTATCTATCTATCTATCTATCTATCTATCTATCTATCTATCTATTTCAATCGCTTCATATCTATCTATCTATCTATCTATCTATCTATCTATCTATCTATCTATCACTTTCTCTCAGTCTTTTCATATCTATCTATCTGCTCTTTCACTCGGTGCTTTATATCTATCTATCTATCTATCTATCTATCTATCTATCTATCATTTTCTCTCAGTCTTTTCATATCTATCTATCTGCTCTTTCACTCGGTGCTTTATATATATCTATCTATCTATCTATCTATCTATCTATCTATTTCAATCGCTTCGTATCTATCTATCTATCTATCTATCTATCTATCTATCTATCTATCTATCTATCTATCACTTTCTCTCAGTCTTTTCATATCTATCTATCTGCTCTTTCACTCGGTGCTTTATATCTATCTATCTATCTATCTATCTATCTATCTATCTATCTATCTATTTCCAATCCTTCATATCTATCTATCTATCTATCTATCTATATCTATCTATCTATCACTTTCTCTCAGTCTTTTCATATCTATCTATCTGCTCTTTCACTCGGTGTTTTCTATCTATCTATCTATCTATCTATCTATCTATCTATCTGTTCGTATCTATCTATCTATCTATCTATCTATCTATCTATCTATCTATGTATGTTCGCATCTCTCTCTCTCTCTCTCTCTCTCTCTCTATCTATCTATATTTCTATCTATGTCTGTTCGTATCTATCTATCTATCTATCTATCTATGTCTGTTCGCATCTCTCTCTCTCTCTCTTTCTATCTATCTATCCATGTCTGTTCGTATCTATCTATCTATCTATCTATCTATCTATCTATCTATGTCTGTTCGTATCTATCTATCTATCTATCTATCTATCTATCTATCTATCTATGTCTGTTCGTATCTATCTATCTATCTATCTATCTATCTATAATACTATATCTAATTTCTTTGATTTTTTTTTTCTACAAAATATATACGTTGTTTCTGAGCTATTTCAATTTGTCCGTCTTTGTCAATCTGTTTGTGCATCTCTCTCAATCCAAAGGCCGCATCTCTGCATCTGCTTCCATACATTTTATATCTGTTAATTTTCAGTCGGCTGGATACAAATGCACATTTCTCTTTTTCTGCTCCGGGAAATTCATCTTGCTCCACCCGTCCCCCACCTCTCCTCATCACCATTTTCCCTCCGCCTCCATTTTTAACTTTCTCTTTGCGCATCCCCTCACTGAACTCTCCGCCATTATCTTTTTCCTTATATCTCATCTGAATTTGAACATCCTGTCTCTGTTTCATCTTTCTTATCGCTTCGATCCGTCCACCCTTTCTGTCATTCTTACTCTCCTTCTCTCATATTCCCCGTTCTCCCCCTCCATAGCCTTCAAGTCTCTCTACTCTCCTCTCCTTTACAACATCTTCTCCCCTCCTCCCCTTCTTCTCACCCCTCTCTTTCCTCCTCTTCATATTGTCAGCTTACCTTCCTCCCCGTCCAATCCTGTTCACAATTTCCTCCCCCTTTCACTACTCCCTTTCCCCTCCTTTCAATAATTTACTCTCCTCTTCTCCAACATTTTGCCATTCTCTCTCGCCTCAGCTCCTTCATAAAATCCTATCTCCCCCTCCTCTCCTTCTTCTCACCCCCTCTTTCCTCCTCTTCACATTTTCAGCTTACATTCCTCCCCGTCCCATCCTGTTCACAATTTCCTCCCCTTTTTCACTACTCCTTTCCCCTCCTTTCAATAATTTACTCTCCCTCTTCTCCAACATTTTGCCATTCTCTCTCGCCTCCAGCTCCTTCATAAAATCCTCTCCCCTCCTCCTTCTTATCACCCCTCTCTTTCCTCCTCTTCACATTGTCAGCTTACCTTCCTCCCCGTCAATCCTGTTCTGGTTTTCCCCCTTTCTTTACTCCCTTTTCCCCTCCTTTCAATAATTTACTCTCCTCTTCTCCAACATTTTGCCATTCTCTCGCCTCAGCTCCTTAAAAATCCTATCTCCCCTCCTCCCCTTCTTCTCACCCCTCTCTTTCCTCCTCTTCACATTGTCAGCTTACCTTCCTCCCCGTCCCATCCTGTTCACAATTTCCTCCCCCTTTCACTACTCCCTTTCCCCTCCTTTCAATAATTTACTCTCCTCTTCTCCAACATTTTGCCATTCTCTCTCGCCTCAGCTCCTTCATAAAATCCTATCTCCCCCTCCTCCCCTTCTTCTCACCCCTCTCTTTCCTCCTCCTTCATTGTCAGCTTACCTTCTCCCCGTCCAATCCTGTTCACAATTTCCTCCCCTTTCCCTTTCCCTTTTTCCCCTCCTTTCAATAATTTACTCTCCTCTTCTCCAACATTTTGCCATTCTCTCTCGCCTCAGCTCCTTCATAAAATCTATCTCCCCCCTCTCCCTTTTTCTCACCCCTCTCTTTCCCTCCTCTTCACATTGTCAGCTTACCTTCCCTCCCTGTCCAATCCTGTTCACAATTTCCTCCCCCTTTCACTACTCCCTTTCCCCTCCTTTCAATAATTTACTCTCCTCTTCTCCAACATTTTGCCATTCTCTCTCGCCTCAGCTCCTTCATAAAATCCTATCTCCCCCTCCTCCCCTTCTTCTCACCCCTCTCTTTCCTCCTCTTCACATTGTCAGCTTACCTTCCTCCCCGTCCCATCCTGTTCAATTTCCTCCCCTTTCACTACTCCCTTTCCCCTCCTTTCAATAATTTACTCTCCTCTTCTCCAACATTTTGCCATTCTCTCTCGCCTCAGCTCCTTCATAAAATCCTATCTCCCCCTCCTCCCCTTCTTCTCACCCCTCTCTTTCCTCCTCTTCACATTGTCAGCTTACCTTCCTCCCCGTCCCATCCTGTTCACAATTTCCTCCCCCTTTCACTACTCCCTTTCCCCTCCTTTCAATAATTTACTCTCCTCTTCTCCAACATTTTGCCATTCTCTCTCGCCTCAGCTCCTTCATAAAATCCTATCTCCCTCCTCCCCCTTTTTCTCACCCCTCTCTTTCCTCCTCTTCACATTGTCAGCTTACCTTCCTCCCCGTCCAATCCTGTTCACAATTTCCTCCCCCTTTCACTCTCCCTTTCCCCTTTTTCAATAATTTACTCTCCCTCTTCTCCAACATTTTGCCATTCTCTCTCGCCTCAGCTCCTTCATAAAATCCTATCTCCCCTCCTCCCCTTTTTCTCCCCTCTCTTTCCTCCTCTTCACATTGTCAGCTTACCTTCCTCCCCTGTCCCATCCTGTTTCAATTTCCTCCCCCCCTTTCACTACTCCCTTTCCCCTCCTTTCCAATAATTTCTCTCCTCTTCTCCAACATTTTGCCATTCTCTCTCGCCTCAGCTCCTTCATAAAATCCTATCTCCCCCTCCTCCCCTTTTTCTCACCCCTCTCTTTCCTCCTCTTCACATTGTCAGCTTACCTTCCTCCCCGTCCAATCCTGTTCACAATTTCCTCCCCCTTTCACTACTCCCTTTCCCCTCCTTTCAATAATTTACTCTCCTCTTCTCCAACATTTTGCCATTCTCTCTCGCCTCAGCTCCTTCATAAAATCCTATCTCCCCCTCCTCCCCTTCTTCTCACCCCTCTCTTTCCTCCTCTTCACATTGTCAGCTTACCTTCCTCCCCGTCCCATCCTGTTCACAATTTTCTCCCCCTTTCACTACTCCCTTTCCCCTCCTTTCAATAATTTACTCTCCTCTTCTCCAACATTTTGCCATTCTCTCTCGCCTCAGCTCCTTCATAAAATCCTATCTCCCCCTCCTCCCCTTCTTCTCACCCCTCTCTTTCCTCCTCTTCACATTGTCAGCTTACCTTCCTCCCCGTCCCATCCTGTTCACAATTTTCTCCCCCTTTCTCTCCTTTCCCCTCCTTTCAATAATTTACTCTCCTCTTCTCCAACATTTTGCCATTCTCTCTCGCCTCAGCTCCTTCATAAAATCCTATCTCCCCCTCCTCCCCTTCTTCTCACCCCTCTCTTTCCTCCTCTTCACATTGTCAGCTTACCTTCCTCCCCGTCCAATCCTGTTCACAATTTCCTCCCCTTTCCACCTCCCTTTCCCTCCTTTCAATAATTTACTCTCCTCTTCTCCAACATTTTGCCATTCTCTCTCAGCTCAGCTCCTTCATAAAATCCTGTCCCCCTCCTCTCCTTCTTCTCACCCCCTCTCTTTCCTCCTCTTCACATTGTCATCCTTAAATTCCTCCCCGTCCCATCCTGTTCAATTTCCTCCCCTTTCACTCCTTTCCCCTCCTTTCAATAAAATTTACTCTCCTCTTCTCCAACATTTGCCATTCTCTCTCCCCTCAGCCTCCTTCCAAAAATCCTATCTCCCCTCCTCCCCTTCTTCTCCCTCTCTTTCCTCCTCTTCACATTTTCAGCTTTATTCCTCCCCCGTCCCATCCTGTTCACAATTTCCTCCCCCTTTCCTACTCCCTTTCCCCTCCTTTTCAATAATTTACTCTCCTCTTCTCCAACATTTTGCCATTCTCTCTCGCCTCAGCTCCTTCATAAAATCCTATCTCCCCCTCCTCCCCTTCTTCTCACCCCTCTCTTTCCTCCTCTTCACATTTTCAGCTTTTATTCCTCCCCGTCCCATCCTGTTCACAATTTCCTCCCCCTTTCACTACTCCCTTTCCCCTCCTTTCAATAATTTACTCTCCTCTTCTCCAACATTTTGCCATTCTCTCTCGCTCAGCTCCTTCATAAAATCCTATCTCCCCTCCTCCCTTCTTCTCACCCCTCTCTTTCCTCCTCTTCACATTTTCAGCTTACCTTCCTCCCCGTCCCATCCTGTTCACAATTTCCTCCCCCTTTCACTACTCCCTTTCCCCTCCTTTCAATAATTTACTCTCCTCTTCTCCAACATTTTGCCATTCTCTCTCGCCTCAGCTCCTTCATAAAAATCCTATCCCCCTCCTCCCCTTCTTCCTCCCCCTCTTTCCTCCTCTTCACATTGTCAGCACCCTTCCTCCCCGTCCAATCCTGTTCACAATTTTCCCCCCCTTTCCTACTCTTTCTCCCTTTCCCCTCCTTTCAATAATTTACTCTCCTCTTCTCCAACATTTTGCCATTCTCTCTCTCCCTCAGCTCCTTCCTTAAAATCCTATCTCCCCTCCTCCCCTTCTTCTCACCCCTCTCTTTCCTCCTCTTCACATTGTCAGCTTACCTTCCTCCCCGTCCAATCCTGTTCACAATTTCCTCCCCCCCTTTCACTACTCCCTTTCCCCTCCTTTCAATAATTTACTCTCCTCTTCACCAACATTTGCCATTTCTCTCGCCTCAGCTCCTTCATAAAAATCCTATCTCCCCCTCCTCTCCTTCTTCTCACCCCTCTCTTTCCTCCTCTTCACATTGTCAGCTTACCTTCCTCCCCGTCCCATCCTGTTCACAATTTCCTCCCCCTTTCACTACTCCCTTTCCCCTCCTTTCAATAATTTACTCTCCTCTTCACCAACATTTTGCCATTCTCTCTCGCCTCAGCTCCTTCATAAAATCCTATCTCCCCCTCCTCTCCTTCTTCTCACCCCTCTCTTTCCTCCACTTCATATTGTCAGCCTACCTTCCTCCCCGTCCAATCCTGTTCATTTCCTCCCCTTTCACTACTCCTTTCCCCTCCTTTTCACCTCCCTCTTCTCCCTTATTTGCCATTCCTCACCTCATCTTCTCTCCCTCTTCTCCTTCTTCTCATTCTCTCTCCACTTCATATTGTGTCTCACCTTCCTCCTATTGTCCAATCCTGTTTACAATTTCCTCCCCCTCTCCCTTCCCCTCCTTTCAATAATTTACCTCCTCTTCTCAACATTTGCCATTCTCTCAAGCCTCAGCTCCTTCTAAAATCCCATCTCCCCCCTCCTCTCCTTCTTCTCCCCCCTCTCTTTTCCTCCCACTTCATATTGTCAGCCCACCTTCCTCCCTGTCCAATCCTGTTCACAATTTTCCTCCCCCTTTCACTACTCCCTTTCCCCTCCTTTCAATAATTTGCTCTCCTCTTCTCCAACATTTTGCCATTCTCTCTCTCTTCGCCTCAGTCCTTCATAAAAATCCTATCTCCCCTCTCCTCCCCTTCTTCTCACCCCTCTCTTTCTCCCCCTCTTCACATTTTCAGCTTACCTTCCTCCCCCGTCCCATCCTGTTCAATTTCCTCCCCTTTCACTACTCCCTTTTCCTCCTTTCAATAATTTACTCTCCTCTTCTCCAACATTTTGCCATTCTCTCTCGCCTCAGCTCCTTCATAAAATCCTATCTCCCCTCCTCTCCTTCTTCTCACCCCTCTCTTTCCTCCACTTCATATTGTCAGCCTACCTTCCTCCCCGTCCAATCCTGTTCACAATTTCCTCCCCCTTTCACTACTCCCTTTCCCCTCCTTTCAATAATTTACTCTCCTCTTCTCCAACATTTTGCCATTCTCTCTCGCCTCAGCTCCTTCATAAAATCCTATCTCCCCCTCCTCTCCTTCTTCTCACCCCTCTCTTTCCTCCACTTCATATTGTCAGCCTACCTTCCTCCCCGTCCAATCCTGTTCACAATTTCCTCCCCCTTTCACTACTCCCTTTCCCCTCCTTTCAATAATTTACCCTCTCCTCTTCTCCAACATTTTGCCATTCTCTCTCGCCTCAGCTCCCTTCATAAAATCCCTATCTCCCTCCTCTCCTTCTTCTCACCCCTCTCCCTCCACTTCATATTGTCAGCCCTACCTTCCTCCCCGTCCAATCCTGTTCTGAATTTCCTCCCCTTTCACTACTCCCTTTTCCCCTCCTTTCATTAATTTACTCTCCTCTTCTCCAACATTTTGCCATTCTCTCGCCTCAGCTCCTTCCAAATCCCTATCTCCCCTCCTCTCCCTTCTTCTCACCTCTCTTTCCTCCCACTTCATATTGTCAGCCTACCTTCCTCCCTGTCCAATCCTGTTCAATTTCCTCCCCTTTCACTACTCCTTTCCCCCTCCTTTCAATAATTTACTCCTCTTCTCCAACATTTTGCCATTCTCTCTGCCTCAGCTCCTTCATAAAATCCTATCTCCCCATCCTCCCCTTCTTCTCACCCCCCTCTTTCCTCCTCTTCATTTCCAGCTTACTCTCCTCCCCTGTCCCATCCTGTTCAATTTCCTCCCCCCTTTCCTCTCCCTTTCCCTCCCTTTCAATAATTTACTCTCCTCTTCTCCAACATTTGCCATTCTCTCTCGCCTCAGCTCTTCCATAAAAATCCCATCTCCCCTCCTCTCCTTCTCTTCTCACCCCTCTCTTCCTCCCTTCATATTTCAGCCTACCTTCCCTCCCCGTCCAATCCTGTTCTAATTTCCTCCCCTTTCTCTACTCTTTCCCTCCTTTTTCAATAATTTACTCTCCTCTTCTCAACATTTTGCCATTCTCTCTCGCCTCAGCTCCTTTAAAATCCTATCTCCCCTCCCTCTTTTCTCACCCCTCTCTTTCCCCTCCCACTTCATATTGTCCAGCCTACCTTCCTCCCCTGTCCAATCCTGTTCACAATTTTCCTCCCCCCTTTCTTACTCCCTTTCCCCTCTTTTCAATAATTTACTCTCCTCTCCAACATTTTGCCATTCTCTCTCGCCTCAGCTCCTTCATAAATCCTATCTCCCCCCTCCCTTCTTCTCACCCCTCTTTCCTCCTCTTCATATTGTCAGCCTACCTTCCTCCCCGTCCCAATCCTGTTCACACTTCCTCCCCTTTCACCCTCCCTTTCCCCTCCTTTCAATAATTTTACTCTCCTCTTCACCAACATTTTTGCCATTTCTCTCTCGCCTCAGCTCCTTCATATAAAAATATCTCCCCTCCCTCCTTCTTCTCACCCCTCTTTCCTCCACTTCATATTGTCAGCTTACCTTTCCTCCCCGTCCAATCCTGTTCACAATTTCCTACCCTTTCACTACTCCCTTCCTCCTTTCAATAATTTCTCTCCTCTTCTCCAACATTTTGCCATTCTCTCTCGCCTCAGCTCCTTCATAAAATCTTCTCACCCCTCTCTTTCCTCCCTTCACATTTTTCAGCTTCCTTCCTCCCCGTCCTCCTGTTCAATTTCCTCCCCTTTCTCTTTCCCCTCCTTTCTCTTCATTGTCAACATTTTGCCATTCTCCTCCTGCTCCCATCCTGTCCCCTCCCTCTCCTTCTTCTCACCCCTTTCATCACACCTTCCTCCCCCAATCCTGTTCATTTCCTCCCCCCACTGCTCCCTTTCCTCCCCTCCTTTCGTATTTACTCCTCTTCTAACATTTGCCATTCTCTCGCCTCAGCTCCTTCCATAAAATCCTATCTCCCCTCCTCTCCTTCTTCTCACCCCTCTCTTTCCTCCACTTCATATTGTCAGCCTACCTTCCTCCCCGTCCAATCCTGTTCACAATTTCCTCCCCCTTTCACTACTCCCTTTCCCCTCCTTTCAATAATTTACTCTCCTCTTCTCCAACATTTTGCCATTCTCTCTCGCCTCAGCTCCTTCATAAAATCCTATCTCCCCCTCCTCTCCTTCTTCTCACCCCTCTCTTTCCTCCACTTCATATTGTCAGCCTACCTTCCTCCCCCTGTCCAATCTGTTCTATTTCCTCCCCCTTTTCACTACTCCCTTTCCCTCCTTTCAATAATTTACTCTCCTCTTCTCCAACATTTTGCCATTTCTCTCGCCTCAGCTCCTTCATAAAATCCTATCTCCCCCTCCTCTCCTTCTTCTCACCCCTCTCTTTCCTCCACTTCATATTGTCAGCCTACCTTCCTCCCCGTCCAATCCTGTTCACAATTTCCTCCCCTTTCCTCTCCCTTTCCCCTCCTTTCAATATTTACTCTCCTCTTCTCCAACATTTTGCCATTCTCTCTCGCCTCAGCTCCTTCATAAAATCCTATCTCCCCCTCCTCCCCTTCTTCTCACCCCTCTCTTTCCTCCTCTTCACATTTTCAGCTTACCTTCCTCCCCGTCCCATCCTGTTCTGAATTTCCTCCCCTTTCATTTTACATTCCCTTTCCCCTCCTTTCAATAATTTACTCTCCTCTTCACCAACATTTTCTCCACCCCTCTCTTCCTCCCAGCTCCTTCATAAAATCCTTCCTCCCCTCCTCCCTTCTTCTCACCCCTCTCTTTCCTCCACTTCATATTTGTCAGCATTTACCATTCTCTCCCCGTCCAATCCTATTCCCCAATTTCCTCACCCCCTTTCTCCTTTCCCCTTTCCCCCTTTCAATAATTTACTCTCCTCTTCTCCAACATTTTGCCATTTCTCTCTCCCTCAAGCTCCTTCATAAAATCCATTCTCTCCTCCTCCTCCTTCTTCTCACCCTCTCTTTCCTCCTCCTCTATTTCCTCTACCTTCCTCCCCTGTCCAATCCTGTTCACAATTTCCCCCTTTCACTACTCCCTTTCCCCTCCTTTCAATAATTTACTCTCCTCTTCTCCAACATTTTGCCATTCTCTCGCCTCAGCTCCTTCATAAAATCCTATCTCCCCCTCCCCTCCCTTCTTCTCACCCCTCTTTCCTCCTCTTCATATTTCCTTACCTTCCTCCCGTCCAATCCTGTTCACAAGTTCCTCCCCCTTCACTACTCCCTTTCCCCTCCTTTCAATAATTTACTCTCCTCTTCTCCAACATTTTGCCATTCTCTCTCGCCTCAGCTCCTTCATAAATCCTATCTCCCCCTCTTCCCTTCTTCTTCCCCTCTCTTTCTTCCTCTTCATAATTCTTCCATTTCTACCTTCCTCCCATCCAATCCTGTTCACAATTCTATCCTTTCCTCTCTCCCCCTTTCTTCTACTTCTTTCCTTTCCCAATAATTTCCCATTTCCCTCTTCTCCCAACATTTTGCCATTCTCTCTCCTCGCCTCTCCTCCTTCATCTTCTCCCTCTTCCCCCTCCCTCCCCTTCTTCACCCCTCTCTTTCCTCCTCTTTCTCACTTCATTTCCTTCTACCTTCCCTCCCCTCCATCTGTTCTTCTTTTCTCCCCTTCTTCTACTCCCTTTCCCTCCTTTCAATAATTTACTCTCTCCTCTTCTCCAACATTTTGCCATTCTCTCTCGTCCTCAGCTCCTTCTTCAAATCCTATCTCCCCTCCCCTCCCTTCTTCTTCCCCCTCTTTTCCTCCTTTTCTCATTGTCAGTTCTCCTTCCTTCCCCGTCCCATCCCAATCCTGTTTACAATTTCTCCCCCTTTCACTACTCCCTTTCTCCTCCTTTCAATAATTTACTCTCCTCTTCTCCAACATTTTGCCATTCTCTCTCGCCTCAGCTCCTTCATAAATCCCTATCTCCCCTCTCCCCTTCTTCTACCCCCTCTCTTTCCTCCCTCTTCATATTGTCAGCTTACCTTCCTCCCTGTCCCATCCTGTTCTGATTTTCCTCCCCCTTTCACTACTCCTTTCCCTCCCTTTCATTTACTCTCCTCTTCTCAACATTTTGCCATTCTCTCTCACCTCAGCTCCTTCATAAAAATCCTATCCCCCCTCTCCCTTCTTCTCACCCCTCTCTTCTCCTCTTCACATTTTCAGGCTTACCTTCCTCCCTGTCCCATCCCTGTTCACAATTTCCTCCCCACTTTACTACTCCCTTTCCCTCCCTTTCAATAATTTACTCTCCTCTTTCTCCAACATTTTGCCATTCTCTCTGCCCTCAGCTCCTTCACCAAATCCTATCTCCCCCACCTCCCTCATTCTTTCGTCCCCCTTCTTTCCTCCTCTTCACATTTCTTGCTTACCTTCCTGTCCCATCCTATTCTCTCCTCCCCCTTTCACTACTCCTTTCCCCTCCTTTCTTAATTTTCCTCCCTCTTCTCCAACATTTTCCATTTCTCTCCCCTCAGCTTGTTGCCTCTCTTAAAATCCTATCCCCCCCTCCTCTCCTCATTCTTCTCACCCTTCTCTCTTCCTCCACTTCATCTTTGTCAATTTACCTTCCTCCCCTGTCCAATCCTTCTTCAATTTCCTCCCTTTTTCTTCATCTCCCTTTCCCCTCCTTTTATTTATTTTACTCTCTTTCTCCACGATTTTTTGTTCTCTCTCCTCAGCTCCTTCATAAAATCCTATTTGTTCCTCCTCTTCTTCTTCTATCCCCCCCCTCTCTTTCCTCCCTTCATATTGTCAGCCTACCTTCATCCTGTCCCATCCTGTTCATAATTTCTCCCCCTTTCACTACTCCCTTCCCTCCTTTAATCTCCTCCTCTTCCAACATTTTGCCATTCTCTCGCCTCAGCTCCTTCATAAAATCCTATCTCCCCCCCTCCTCCCTTCTTCTCACCCCTCTCTTTCCTCCTCTTCACATTTTCAGCTTACCTTCCTCCCCTGTCCCATCCTGTTCAAGCAATTTCCTCCCCCTTTCACTCCCTTTCCCCCTCCTTTCAATAATTTTCCTCTTCTCAACATTTTGCCATTCTCTCTCTCGCCTCAGCTCCTTCATAAAAATCCTATCTCCCCCCTCCTCTCCTTCTTCACCTCTCTTCCTCCCTTCACATTTTCCAGCCTGCCTTCCTCCCCATCCCATCCTGTTCTGAATTTCCTCCCCCCTTTCTTTTCTCCTTCCCTCTTTCAATAATTTACTCTCCTCTTCTCCAACATTTTGCCATTCTCTCTCCTCAGCTCTTCATAAAAAATCCTACTCCCCCCTCCTCCCCTTCTTCTGCCCCCTCTCTTTCGTCCTCTTCACATTTCAACTTACCTTCCTCCCATCCCATCCTTCACAATTTCCTCCCCTTTCCTCTCCCTTTCCCCTCCTTTCAATAATTTACTCCTCTTCACCAACTTGTTTTTGCAGTCTCTCTCGCCTCCAAACCCTTCATAAATCTATCTCCCCTCCCTCTCCCTTCTGCCCCTCTCTTTCCTCCACTATGTGTCAGCCTACCTTCCTCCCCATCCAATCCTGTTCTAATTTCCTCCCCTTCCTACTCACTTTTCCCCTCCTTTCAATAATTTACTCTCCTCTTCTCCAACATTTTGCCATTCTCTCGCCTCAGCTCCTTCTTAAAATCCTATCTCCCCTCCTCCCCTTCTTCTCCACCCCTCTCTTTTCCTCCTCTTCCACATTGTCCCCTACCTTCCTCCCATCCCATCCTGTTCAATTTCCTCCCCTTTCACTACTCCTTTCCCCTCCTTTCAATAATTTACTCTCCTCTTCTCCAACATTTTGCCATTCTCTCTTCGCCTCAGCTCCTTCATAAAAATCCTATCTCCCCCTCCTCCCCTTCTTCTCCCCCTCTCTTTCCTCCTCTTCATTTTCAGCTTACCTTCCTCCCCGTCCCATCCTGTTCTGATTTCCTCCCCCTTTTCACTACTCCCTTTTCCCCTCCTTTCAATAATTTACTCTCCTCTTCTCCAACATTTGCCATTCTCTCGCCTCAGCTCCTTCATAAATCCCCTATCTCCCTCCCCTCCTTCTTCTCACCCCTCTCTTTCCTCCTCTTCACATTGTCAGCCTACCTTCCTCCCCGTCTAATCCTGTTCTAATTTCCTCCCCTTTCACCTACTCCTTTCCCCTCCTTTCCAATAATTTACTCTCCTCTTCTCCAACATTTTTGCCATTCTCTCTCGCCTCAAAGCTCCTTCTCAAATCCTATCTCCCCCTCCTCCCCTTCTTCTCACCCTCTCTTTCCTCCTCTTCACATTTTCAGCTTACCTTCCTCCCCGTCCCATCCTGTTCTGATTTTCCTCCCCTTTCACTACTCCCTTTCCCCCTTTCCTGCCAATTTACTCTCCTCTTCTCCAACATTTTGCCATTCTCTCTCCTCAGCTCCTTCATAAAATCTATCTCCCCTCCTCCCTTCTTCTCACCCCTCTCTTTCCTCCTCTTCATATTGTCAGTCTACCTTCCTCCCCGTCCCATCCTGTTCTGTGTTTCCCTCCCCACCCCCTTCCTCTCCCACCCCCTCCTTTCAATAATTTACTCTCTCTTCTCCAACATTTTGCCATTCTCTGCCTCAGCTCCTTCATAAAATCCTATCTCCCCCTCCTCCCATTCTTCTCACCCTCTTTCCTCCTCTCACATTTCAGCTTACCTTCTCCCCGTCCCATCCTGTTCTAATTTCCTCCCCCTTCACTACTCCCTTTCCCCTCTTTCAATTTACTCTCCTCTTCACCAACATTTTGCCATTTCTCTCGCCTCAGCTCCTTCATAAAATCCCTATCCCCCCTCTCCCTTCTTCACCCCCCCTCTCTCCCTCCACTTCCCTTGTCAGCCTACCTTCCTCCCCGTCCAATCCTGTTCACAATTTCTCCCCCTTTCACTACTCCCTTTCCCCTCCTTTCCAATAATTTACTCTCTCTTCTCAACATTTTTTGCCCATTCTCTCTCGCCTCCTCCTTCACCAAAATCCTATCTCCCCTCCTCCCCTTCTTCTCACCCCTCTCTTTCCTCCACTTCCACATTGTCAGCCCTACCTTCCTCCCCGTCCAATCCTGTTCACAATTTTCTCCCCTTTCTGGCTCCCCTTTCCCCTCCTTTTCAATAATTTACTCTCCTCTTCTCCCTCCTTCTTCCTTTCTCTCTCGCCTTCAGCTCTTATTAAAATCCTTTCCCCCCTCCTAATTCTTCCTTTTCACCCCTCTCTTTCCTCCCTCTTCACATTTTCAAGCTTCCTCTCCTCCCCCTCCCATCCTCTTCTAATTTCCACTCCCCCCTTTATTTCCCTTTCCCTCCTTTCAATAATTTCTCTCTTCTTATTTCTACAATTCTATCTTGTTCTCTCTCCTCTCCTCCTTCTTATTCTTCTTCTTCTTCTCCTTCTTCTTCTTCCTTCTTCTTCTTCATCCCTCTTCATTCTTCCATTTTCTCCCTTCTCCCTCTCTTCACAATTCTTCCTCTTCCTCTTTTCACTACTCCTTTCCTTCTTCTTTCAATAATTTGCTCTCCATCCTTCTCCTTAATTCTTCCATTTCTCTCGCCTCTTGTTGTTTCATAAAATTCTGTCCTCCCCTCCTCCCCTTCTTCTCACCTCTCTTTTCCTCCCTCTTCTTTCACCTTCTTCCTCCCCGTCCCATCCTGTTAATTCTTCCCCTTTCCTTCTCCCTTTTCCTCTCCTTTCAATAATTTTCCTCTCCTCTTCTCCAACATTTTGCCATTTCTCTCCTCCTCATCTCCTTCATAAAATCCCTATCTCCCCTCTCTCCTTCTTCTCACCCTCTCTTTCCTCCTCTTCATTGTCAGTCCTACCTTCCTCCCCGTCAATCCTGTTCTTTTTCCTTCTTTTCACTACTCCTTCTTCTTCCTCCTTTCATTTCTCTCCTCTTCTCCAACATTTTGTTTCTCTCTCTCCAGCTCCTTCCTAAATCACTCTCCCCTCCTTCCCTTCTTCTTCTCACCTCTTTCTCCTCTTCCATTTTTCAGCTTACCTTCCTCCCCGTCCCATCCTGTTCCATTTTCCTCCCCCTTTCTTGGTCCCTTTCTTCCCTTTCTATCCTCGTCTTCTCCTCTTCTCTCCTTCTTCTTTTCCATTCTCTCTTCGCCTCTCTTCTCCCTTCATAAAATCCTCCTCCCCTCCTCCCTTTCTTCTCACCCCTCTCTTCCTCCTCCTTCACATTTTTCAGCTTACCTTCTCCTCCTCCATCCTGTTCCACAATTTCCTTCCCTTTTTCCTTCTCCCTTTCCTCCTTTCAATATTTACTCTCCTCTTCTTAAAATTTTTGCCATTTCTCCTACTCCTTCACCTCTCTTCTGATTCTATCCCCTTCCTCTCACCCTCTCTTTCCTCCTCTTCACATTCTTCTTCCTACCTTCCTCCCCGTCCCCATTCTTCCATTTTTCTCCCCCTTTCTTGTTCCCTTTCCAGTCCTTTCAATAATTTCCTCTCCTCTTCTTTAGCATTTTGCCCATTCTCTCTCCTTCTTCAGCTCCTTTAATTCTTCCATTTTTCCCCCCTCCTCCTTTCTTCTCACCTTCTCTTTCCTCCTCTTCTCATTTTCTCCTTACCTTCCTCCCCTTCTTCTTCCTGTTCACAATTTCCTCCCCTTTCACTACTCCCTTTCCCTCCTTTCAATAATTTACCTCTCCTCTTCTCCAACATTTTGCCATTTCTCTCGCCTCAGCTCCTTCATAAATCCTGTCTCCCCCTCCTCCTTCTTCTCACCCTCTCTTTCCTCCACTTCATTTTTCAGCTTACCTTCCTCCCCGTCCAATCCTGTTTCAATTTCCTCCCCTTTCACTACTCCCTTTCCCCTTTCAATAATTTACTCTCCTCTTCTCCAACATTTTGCCATTCTCTCTCACCTCAGCTCCCTTCATAAATCCCTATCTCCCCCCCTCCTCCCCTTCTTCTCACCCCTCTCTTTCCTCCTCTTCATTTTCAGCTTACCTTCCTCCCCGTCCCATCCTGTTCTGCTTCCTCCCCCTTTCACTTCTCCCTTTCCCCTCCTTTCATGGTTTTCTCCTCTTCTCCAACATTTTGCCATTCTCTCTCTCCTCAGCTCCTTCATAAAATCCCTATCCCCTCCCCCTTCTTCTCACCCTCTCTTTCCTCCACTTCCTTTTCAGCTTACCTTCCTCCCCGTCCAATCCTGTTCACAATTTCCTCCCCTCATAATTCTCATTTCTCCTCCTGTAATTTTCTCTCCTCTTCCTCAACATTTTGCCATTCTCTCTCTCCTCCTCCTTCTTCTTCTCCTTCTTCCTCTCCCCTTCTTCTTCACCCCTCTCTTTCCTCCCTCTTCATATTTCTGTTTACCTTCCTCCCCGTCCCATCCTGTTCACAATTTCCTCCCCTTTCCTTCTCCCTTTCCCCTCCTTCTTCTTCTACTCTCCTCTTCTCCTTCTTTTGCCATTCTCTCTCGCCTCCAACTCCTTCCTTTTCTCCTACTTCTCCCCTCTCCTTCTTCTTCACCTCTCTTTCCTCCTCCTCCTCCTTCTTCTTCTTACCTTCCTCCCCTTCCCATCCTGTTCTTTACCTTCCTCCCCCTTTTCTTCTCATTTTCCCCTCCTTTCTTGTTGTTCTCTCTTCTCCAACATTTTCCCATTCTCTCGCCTCCTTTCCTTCTTAAAATCCCTGTCTCCCCCTCCTCCCCTTCTACCCCTCTCTTTCCTCCTCTTCCATTTTCTTCTTTACCTTCCTCCCATCCCATCCTGTTCCCAATTTCCTCCCCTTTTTCTCTCCCTTTCCCTCTCCTTCCATTAATTTACTCTCCCTCTTCTCCAACATTTCTCCCATTCTCTCTTTCCTCAGCTCCTTCTCGTCCTCTCCCCCTCCTCCCCTTCTTCTCACCCCTCTCTTTCCTCCTCTTCATTTTCAGCTTACCTTCCTCCCCGTCCCCATCTGTTCACATTTTCCCTCCCCCTTTTCCTCTCCCTTCCCTCCTTTCCAATAATTTCTCTCCTCTTCTCCAACATTTTGCCATTCTCTCGCCTCAAGCTCCTTTCTAAAATCTATCTCCCCTCCTCCCTTCTTCCCACCCCTCTTTCCTCCTCTTCCATTTTTCCTACCTTCCTCCCCGTCCCATCCTGTTCTATCCTTTCCTCCCCTTTCCTCCTCCCTTTCCCTCCTTTCAATAATTTACTCTCCTCTTCTCAACATTTTGCCATTTCTCTCTCTCCTCGGCTCCTTCATTAAATCCTCTCCCCCTCCTCCCCTTCTTCTATCCCCTCTCTTTCCTCCTCTTCACATTTTCATCTTACCTTCCTCCCCCTTCCTTCCTGTTCTGTTTCTCCCCCCTTTTCTCCCCTTTTCCCTCCCCTTTCAATTCTCTCCTCTTCTCCAACATTTTGCCATTCTCTCTCCTCAGCTCCTTCCAAATCCTCTCTCCCCTCCTCCCCTTCTTCTCACCCCTCTCTTTCCTCCTCTTCACATTTTCAGCTTCCCTTCCTCCCCATCCCATCCTGTTCACAATTTCCTCCCCCTTTTCCTGTCCCTTTTCCCTCCTTTCCAATTTTCTCTCCTCTCTCCAACATTTTGCCATTCTCTCTCGCCTCAGCTCCTTCATAAATCCTAATCTCCCCCTTCCCCTTCTTCTCACCCCTCTCTTTCCTCCTCTTCATTGTCCAGCTTACCTTCCTCCCCCTCCCATCCTCTTCTGTTCCTCCCCCTTTCTCCCTTTCCTTCTCCTTTCAATAATTTACTCTCCTCTTCTCCAACATTTTGCCATTCTCTCTCTCCTCCAGCTCTTCATAAATCCTATCTCCCCTCCTCTCCCTTCTTCTCTTCCCCCTTTTCCTCCCTCTTCATTCTTCAGCTTTTCTTCCTCTTCGTCCCATCCTGTTCACAATTCCTCCCCTTTCCTCTCCTTTCCCCTCCTTTCAATCTTCTTCTCTCCTCTTCTCCTACTTTTGCCATTCTCTCTCGCCTCAGCTCCTTCATTTTCTCCCTACTTCCCCCTCCTCTCCTTCTTCTCACCCCTCTCTTCCTCCTCTTCTTTGTCAGCTTACCTTCCTCCCCGTCCATCCTGTTCTTTTCCTCCCTTTTTCACTACTCCCTTTCCCCTCCTTTCATAATTTCTTCCTCTTCTCCAACATTTTGTTTCTCTCGCCTCAGCTCCTTCATAAAAATCCTCGTCTCCTCTCCTTCTTCTCACCTCTCTTTCCTCCTCTTCATATTGTCTTCTTACCTTCTCCCCGTCAATCCTGTTCTAATTTCCCCCCTTTTGTTTCTACTCCCTTTCCCCTCCTTTCAATAATTTACTCTCCTCTTCTCCAACATTTTCTCTCTTCTCTTCTCCTTCAAAATCTATCTCCCCTCCTCCCCTTCTCCTTCCCCTCTCTTTCCTCCTCTTCACATTTTCAGCTTACCTTCCTCCCCATCCCATCCATTTCAATTTCCTCCCCTTTCTTCTTCTCCCTTTCCCCTCCCTTTCCAATAATTTACTCTCCTCTTCTCCCAACATTTTTGCCATTCTCTCTCTCCTCAGCTCCTTCTCGTCCTATCTCCCCCTCCTCCCTTCTTCTCCCCTCTCTTTCCTCCCTCTTCACGTTTCTTCCTTCCTCCCCGTCCCATCCTGTTCAATTTCCTCCCCCCCTTTCCTCTCCCTTTTCCCCTCCTTTCAATAATTTACTCTCCTCTTCTCCAACATTTTGCCCATTCTCTCTCGCCTCAGCTCCTTCATAAAATCCCTCTCTCCCCTCCTCCCTTCTTCTCCCCCTCTCTTTCCTCCTCTCATTTCCTTTACCTTCCTTGTCCCATCCTATTTCATTTCCTCCCCTTTCTCTCCTTCCTCCTTTCCTCTCCTCTTCTCAACAATCCTGCTCCTTCACAAATCTCCCCCCCTCCTCCCCTTCTTCTCACCTCTCTTCCCTTTCCCCTTCCTTTCCAATAATTCCCTCCCCTTTCACCTCTCTTCCCCTTTTGTGTTACTCTCCTCTTCTCAACATTTTGCCATTCTCTCTCTCCTCAGCTCCTTCATAAAATCTATCTCCCCCTCCTCCCCTTCTTCTCCCCCTCTCTTTCCTTGTTCTTCCATTGTCAGCCTACCTTCCTCCCCGTCCCATTCTGTTCCCACGTTTCCTCCCCTTTCTTCTTCTCCTTTTCCCCCCCCTTTCAATTTACTCTCCCTCTTCTCCAACATTTTGCCATTCTCTCTCGCCTCCAGCTCCTCTCTAAAATCCCTATCCCCCCTCCTCCCCTTCTTCTCACCCCTCTCTTTCCTCCTCTTCTTCTTTTCTTCTTCTGTCCTCCCTCATCCATCCCTTCCATTTTTCCTCCCCCTTTCTCTTCTCCCTTTCCCCTCCTTTCAATAATTTACTCTCCTCTTCTCCAACATTTTGCCATTCTCTTCTTCCAGCTCCTTCATTCTTCTATCCCCTCTCCTTCTTCTCATTTCTCTTCCTCCTCTTCACATTGTCCTTCTACCTTCCCTCCCCTCCATCCTCCCCAATTTCCTCCCTTTCACTACTCCCTTTTCCTTCCTTTTCTTAATTTACTCTCCTCTTCTCAACATTTTGCCATTCTCTCTCGCCTCAGCTCCTTCTCAAATCTATCCCCCTCCTCCCCTTCTTCTCACCCCTCTCTTTCCTCCTCTTCATTGTCAGCTTACCTTCCTCCCCGTCCCATCCTGTTCTGAATTTTCTCCCCCTTTCACTCCCTTTCCCTCCTTTCCAATAATTTCTCTCCTCTTCTCCAACATTTTGCCCATTCTCTCTCGCCTCCAGCTCCTTCATAAATCCTATCTCCCCCTCTCCCTTCTTCTCACCCCTCTCTTTCCTCCCTCTTCACATTGTCAGCTTACCTTCCTCCCCGTCCCATCCTGTTCACAATTTCTCCCCTTTCACTGCTCCTTTTCCTCCTTTCAATAATTTTTCTCCTCTTCTCAACATTTTGCCATTCTCTCGCCTCAGCTCCTTCACCAAATCCTATCTCCCCCTCCCCTTCTTGTCACCTTCTCCTCCTCCTCTTCCAATTTTCCCCCTTGCCTCCCTTTCCCTCCCTTTCCCTCTCCTCTTTCAACATTTGCCATTCCCTTCCGCCACTGTCTCCCCCTTTCCCTTCCTTCACCCTCTCCTCCTCTTCACATTTCTCTTCCTCCCCCTCCCATCATTTCCCCCATTTCTCTCTTCCTCCCTTTCATGTTACTCTGCTCTTCTCCAACATTTTCCATTCTCCCTCCTCCCTTAAAATTCTCCCCCCCTCCTCCCTTTCCTCCCCTCTTCACCTCTTCATTTCAGCTTACCTTCCTCCCCGTCCCCTGTTCTAATTTTCTCCCCTTTCACTACTCCCTTTCCCCCTCTTTCAATAATTTACTCTCCTCTTCTCCATTTTGCCCATTCTCTCTCTCTCAGCTCCTTCTTAAAATCTATCTCCCCTCCTCCTTCTTCTCACCCTCTTTTCTCTTCACATTTTCAGCTTACCTTCCTCCCCGTCCCATCCTGTTCCATTTCCTCCCCTTTCCAACTCCCTTTCCCCCTCCTTTCAATGTTACTCTCCCTCTTCTCCAACATTTTGCCATTCTCTCTCGCCTCAGCTCCTTCATAAAATCCTATCTCCCCTCCTCCCTTCTTCTCCCCTCTCTCCTCCCTCTTCACATTGTCAGCTTACCTTCCCCCCCGTCCCATCCTGTTCACAATTTTCTCCCCTTTCCAACTCCATTTCCCCCCTTTTCAATAATTTACTCTCCTCTTCTCAACATTTTGCCATTCTCTCTCGCCTCAGCAAATCCCCCTCCTCCCCTTCTTTCACCCCTCTCTTTCCTCCTCTTCACAAATCCTCCCCGTCAATTTCCTGTTTTCACTACTCCCTTTCCTCCCCTTCCCTCCCTTTCCCAACTCCTTCTCTCCTGGCTCCTTCTCCTATCTTCTCCCTTCTTCTCCAACTTCCTTTCCTCTTCGTCCCATTTTCCTATCTTCACCTTCTTTCCTCCCCTCCCTCTTCCTCCTCTTCTCCAATTTCTCCCCCCTCTTTCATCCTCTTCCCACATTTTCAATTTTCTCCCCCCTTTCTGTTCCTCCCCCCTTTGCCTCAATAGTTACTCTCCTCTTCTCAACATTTTGCCATTCTCTCTCCTCCAGCTCCTTCCATAAATCCTATCTCCCCTGCCTCCCCTTCTTCTCACCCCCTCTTTCCTCCCTCTTCATTGTCAACTTACCTTCCTCCCCGTCCCATCCTGTTCTGTTCCTCCCCCCTTTCTCCCCTTTCCTTCCTCTTCCTTCCTCTTCTCCCCATTTTCATTCTCTCTCCCTCCCAGCTCCTTCATAATCCCTCTCCCCCCTCTCCCCTTCTTCTCACCCCTCTCCTCTCTTCTCATTGCAACACCTTCCTCCCCGTCCCATCCTGTTCTGTTTCTCCCCCTTTCCCCCCCCTCCTCCCTTCTTCTCACCCCTGTAAAATCTTCTCCTCCCTTCTTCTCACCTCCTCTTTTGTCAGCTTACTTCCTCCCCCGTCCCATCCTGTTCACAATTTTTCTCCCCTTTCACAACTCCCTTTCCCTCCTTTCCAATAATTTTACTCTCCTCTTCTCCAACATTTTGCCATTCTCTCTCTCCTCAGCTCCTTCACCATCTATCTCCCCTCCTCCCTTCTTCTCACCCCTCTTTCCTCCCTCTTCATTTTCAGCTTACCTTCCTCCCCATCCCATCCTGTTCAATTTTCTCCCCCTTTCTGGCTCCCTTTCCCTCCTTTCCAATTACTCTCTCTTCTCCAACATTTTGCCATTCTCTCTCTCGCCTCCGCTCCTTCATAAATCCTATCTCCCCTCCCTCCCTTCTTCTCACCCCTCTCTTTCCTCCTCTTCATTTTCAGCTTACCTTCCTCCCCCAATCCTGTTCACAATTTCCTCCCCCTTTCACTTCTCCCTTTCCCCTCCCTTTCAATAATTTACTCCTCTTCTCAACATTTTGCCATTCTCTCTCCTCAGCTCCTTCACTTGTCCCTCTCCCCCTCCTCCCTTCTCCCCTCTTTCCTCCTCTTCACATTTTCAGCTTACCTTCTCCCCGTCCCATCCTGTTCTAATTTTCTCCCCCTTTCACAACTCCTTTCCCCTCCCTTTCAATAATTTACTCTCCTCTTCTCCAACATTTGCCATTCTCTCTCTCCTCAGCTCCTTCCTAAAATCTTTCTCCCCTCTCCCTTCTTCTCACCCCTCTCTTTCCTCCTCTTCACATTTTCAGCTTACCTTCCTCCCCGTCCCATCCTGTTCATTTTCTCCCCTTTCTTTCTCCCTTTCCCCTCCTTTCAATAATTTCCTCTCCTCTTCTCAACATTTTGCCATTTCTCTCTCTCCTTCATAAAATCCCCTGTCTCCCCCCCTCCCCCTTCTTCTCACCCCTCTTTCCTCCCTCTTCACATTGTCAGCTTACCTTCTCCCCCATCCCATCCTGTTCTGTATTTCCTCCCCCTTTTCTCCCTTTCCCTCCTTTCAGCAATTTACTCTCCTCTTCTCCAACATTTTGCCATTCTCTCTCTCCTCAGCTCCTTCATAAAATCCTATCTCCCCCTCCTCCCCTTCTTCTCACCCCTCTCTTTCCTCCTCTTCACATTGTCAGCTTACCTTCCTCCCCGTCCCATCCTGTTCTGTTTTTCTCCCCTTTCTTTCTCCTTCCTCCTTTCAATAATTTTACTCCTCTTCTCCAACATTTTGCCATTCTCTCTCCTCAGCTCCTTCATAAAATCCTATCTCCCCTGCTCCCCTTCTTCTCACCCCTCTTTTCCTCCCTCTTCACATTGTCCAGCTTACCTTCCTCCCCGTCATCCTGTTCACAATTTTCTCCCCCTTTCCTTCTCCTTTCCCTCCTTTCAATATTTTCTCTCCTCTTCTCCTTTGCCATTCTCTCTCCTCAGCTCCTTTTAAAATCTATCTCCCCTTCTCCCTTCTTCTCACCCCTCTCTTTCCTCCCTCTTCACATTTGTCAAACACCTTCCTCCCCGTCCCATCTCCTGTTCAATTTTCTCCCCCTTTCCCTTTCTCCTTTCCCCCTCCTTTCAATAATTTACTCTCCTCTTCTCCAACATTTTGCCCTTCTCTCTCTCCTCAACCCTTCATTAATCCCTATCTCCCCCTCCTCCCCTTCTTCTCCACCCCTCTCTTTCCTCCCTCTTCCCATTGTCAGCTTACCTTCCTCCCCCGTCCCATCTGTTCTGTTTCTCCCCTTTCTACTCCTTTCCCTCCTTTCAATAATTTACTCTCTCTTCTCCAACATTTTGCCATTCTCTCTCGCCTCGCTCCTTCTTAAAATCCCTATCCCCCCCTCCCCTTCTTCTCACCCCTCTTTTCCTCCTCTTCACATTGTCGGCTTACCTTCCTCCCCGTCAATCCTGTTCAATTTCCTCCCCTTCACCTAGCTCCCTTTCCCTCCTTTCAATGTTTTACTCTCCTCTTCTCCATTTGCCATTCTCTCTCCTCAGATCCTTCATAATCCTATCTCCCCCTCCTCCCCTTCTTCTCCCCTCTCTTTCCTCCCTCTTCACATTGTCAGCTTACCTTCCTCCCCATCCCATCCTGTTCTGAAATTTTCTCCCCCTTTCACAACTCACTTTACCCTCCTTTTCAATATTTACTCTCCTCTTCTCCCAACATTTGCCATTCTCCTCTCTCCAGCTCCTTCCTTCAAAATCCTACTCCCCTCCTCCCCTTCTTCTCACCCCTCTTTCCTCCTCTTCACATTGTCCAGCTTACCTTCCTCCCCGTCCAATCCTGTTTCAATTTCCTCCCCCTTTGCAACTCCCTTTCCCCTCCCTTTCAATAATTTACTCTCCTCTTCTCCAACATTTTGCCATTCTCTCTCTCCTCCTCCTTCTTAAATCCTATCTCCCCCTCCTCCCCTTCTTCCTTTTCTCTCCTCCTCTTCACATTGTCCAGCCCTTCCTCCCCGTCCCATCCCCTGTTCTGTTCCTCCCCCTTTCACTACTCCTTTCCCCCTCCTTTCAATAATTTACTCCTCTCTTCTCCAACATTTTTGCCATTCTCTCTCGCCTCAGCTCCTTCATAAAATCCTATCTCCCCCCCTCCTCCCCTTCTCACCCCTCTCTTCCTCCTCATTGTCATTGTCCCAATCGCCTTAATTTCCTCCGTCCATCCTGTTCTCCAATTTTCTCCAGGTACTCCCCTTTCTAGCTCCCTTTCTCCTCCTTTCAATAATTTACTCTCCTCTTCTCCCCTTCTTTCACCCATTCTTCTCTCTTCACATTGTCAGCTTACCTTCCTAAATCCTATCTCCCAATTCCTCCCCTTCTTCTCACCCCTCTTTTTTCCCCCCTCCCTTTTCACATTGTCTCGCCTCTCCCTTCCTCCCCTCCCCAATCCTGTTCTAATTTTCCCTTCCTTTCAGCTTACCTTCCTCCCCTCCTTTCAATAATTTCCTCTCCTCTTCTCTTTCATGTTGTTTTGCCATTCTCTCTCTCCTCAGCTCCTTTCATAAATCCTATCTCCCCCTCCTCCCCTTCTTCTCACCCCTCTTTCCTCCTCTTCACATTGTCAGCTTACCTTCCTCCCCGTCCTATCCTGTTCACAATTTTCTCCCCTTTCTAGCTCCTTTTCCCCCTCCTTTCAATAATTTACTCTCCCTCTTCTCCAACATTTTGCCATTCTCTCTCTCCCTCCAGCTCCTTCTAAATCCTATCTCCCCTCCTCCCCTTCTTTCACCCCTCTCTTTCCTCCTCTTCACATTGTCAGCTTACCTTCCTCCCCGTCCCATCCTGTTCAAATTTCTCCCCTTTCACAACTCCCTTTTCCCCTCCTTTCAATAATTTTACTCTCCTCTTCTCCAACATTTTGCCATTCTTCTCTCCGCCTCAGCTCCTTCATAAAATCCCTATCTCCCCTCCTCCCCTTCTTCTCACCCTCTCTTTCCTTCCTCTTCCTCATTTGTCATCCTGTTCACAATTTTCCTCCCCTTTCCCATCCTCCTTTCACAATTTTCTTTCTCCCCCATTTTCGCCTCAGCTCCTTCATAAAATCCCCCCCCTCCTCCCCTTTTCCCCTTTTCCCCTCCTTTCCAATATGCAATTTTCCTCCCCTTTTCCCTTTCCCTCCTTTTCTCTCCTCTTTCTCCAACATTTTGCCATTCTCTCTCTCCTCAGCTCCTTCATAAAATCCTATCTCCCCCTCCTCCCCTTCTTCTCACCCCTCTCTTTCCTCCTCTTCACATTGTCAGCTTACCTTCCTCCCCGTCCAATCCTGTTCACAATTTTCTCCCCCTTTCACTACTCCCTTTCCCCTCCTTTCAATAATTTACTCTCCTCTTCTCCAACTTCACCAAAATTTTGCCATTCTCTCTCTCCTCTCTTTCCTCCCTTCATAAAATCCTATCTCCCCCTTCTCCCCTTCTTCTCACCCCTCTCTTTCCTCCCTCTTCACATTTCAGCTTACCTTCCTCCCCGTCCCATCCTCTTCATTGTCAGCTAATTTTCTCCCCCTTTCACAATTTTCTCCCCTTTCCCCTCCTTTCAATAATTTACTCTCCTCTTCTCCAACATTTTGCCATTCTCTCCGCCTCAGCTCCTTCATAAAAATCCTATCTCCCCTCCTCCCCTTCTTCTCACCCCCTCTTTCCTCCTCTTCACATTGTCAGCTTACCTTCCTCCCCGTCCCATCCTGTTCACAATTTCTCCCCTTTCACTACTCCCTTTCCCCTCCTTTCAATAATTTACTCTCCTCTTCTCCAATATTTTGCCATTCTCTCTCGCCTCAGCTCCTTCATAAATCCTATCTCCCCTCCTCCCCCTTCTTCTCACCCCTCTCTTTCCTCCTCTTCACATTGTCAGCTTACCTTCCTCCCTGTCCCATCCTGTTCAAATTTTCTCCCCCTTTCACTACTCCCTTTCCCCTCCTTTTCAATAATTTACTCTCCTCTTCTCCAACATTTTGCCATTCTCTCTCGCCTCAGCTCCTTCATAAAAATCCTATCTCCCCTCCTCCCTTCTTCTCACCCCTCTCTCCTCCTCCTCTTCACATTGTCAGCTTACCTTCCTCCCCCGTCCCATCCTGTTCACAATTTCCTCCCCCTTTCTGCTCCCCTTTCCCTCCTTTCAATAATTTACTCTCCTCTTCTCCAACATTTTGACATTCTCTCTCCTCCAGCTCCTTCATAAAATCCTATCTCCCCTCCTCCCCTTCTTCTCACCCTCTCTTTCCTCCTCTTCATTGTCAGCTTACCTTCCTCCCCGTCCCATCCTGTTTCACAATTTTCTCCCCCTTTCCCCAACTCCCTTTCCCTCCTTTCCAATAATTTACTCTCCTCTTCTCCAACATTTGCTGTTTCTCTCTCCTCAGCTCCTTCCCGCCATCCTATCTCCCCTGTCCCCTTCTTCTCACCCCTCTTTTCCTCCTCTTCACATTGTCAGCTTACCTTCCTCCCATCCATCCTGTTCACAATTTTCTCCCCCTTTCTTTACTCCCTTTCCCTCCCTTTCAATAATTTCTCTCCTCTTCTCCAACATTTTGCCATTCTCTCTCTCCTCAGCTCCTTCACAAAATCCTATCTCCCCTCCTCCCCTTCTTCTCACCCCTCTCTTTCCTCTCTTCACTTTGTCCCTTTTACCTTCCTCCCCATCCCATCCTGTTTCACAATTTTTCTCCCCCTTTCCCCCAACTCCCTTTCCCCTCCTTTCCAATAATTTACTCTCCTCTTCTCCAACATTTTGCTCTCTCTCTTTTCTCAGCTCCTTCACTTAAAATCTATCTCCCCCCTCCTCCCCTTCTTCTCACCCCTCTCTTTCCTCCTCTTTCCCATTTGTCCTTACCTTCCCTCCCCCGTCCCATCCTGTTCACAATTTTCTCCCCCCTTTCTGCTCCCTTTCCCTCCTTTCAATAATTTTACTCTCCTCTTCTCCAACATTTTGCCATTCTCTCTCGCCTCAGCTCCTTCTTCAATCCCTATCTCCCCTCCCTCCCCTTCTTCTCACCCCTCTCTTTCCTCCTCTTCACATTGTCAGCTTACCTTCCTCCCCCGTCCAATCCTGTTCACAATTTCCTCCCCTTTCCACTTCTCCTTTCCCTCCTTTCAATATTTACTCTCTCTTCTCCAACATTTGCCATTCTCTCTCTCCTCAGCTCCTTCATAAATCCTATCTCCCCCTCCTCCCTTCTTCTCACCCTCTCTTTCCTCCTCTTCACATTGTCAGCTTACCTTCCTCCCCCGTCCCATCCTGTTCACGTTTTCTCCCCTTTCCCAACTCCCTTTCCCCTCCTTTCAATAATTTACTCTCCTCTTCTCCAACATTTTGCCATTCTCTCTCTCCTCAGCTCCTTCATAAAATCCTATCTCCCCCTCCTCCCCTTCTTCTCACCCCTCTCTTTCCTCCTCTTCACATTGTCAGCTTACCTTCCTCCCCGTCCCATCCTGTTCACAATTTTCTCCCCCTTTCACAACTCCCTTTCCCCTCCTTTCAATAATTTACTCTCCTCTTCTCCAACATTTTGCCATTCTCTCTCGCCTCAGCTCCTTCCAAATCCTATCTCCCCCTCTCCCCTTCTTCTCACCCCCTCTCTTTCTCCCCTTCACATTGTCAGCTTACCTTCCTCCCCATCAATCTGTTCCACAATTTCCTCCCCCTTTCCTCTCCCTTCCCCTCAACTTTCAATAATTTACTCTCCTCTTCTCCCAACATTTTGCATTCTCTCTCTCCTCAGCTCCTTCACAAATCCTATCTCCCCTCCTCCTTCTTCTCACCCTCTCTTTCCTCCTCTTCACATTGTCCAACACCTTCCTCCCCGTCATCCTGTTCACAATTTCTCCCCCTTTCACAACTCCTTTCCCCTCCTTTCAATAATTTACTCTCCTCTTCTCCAACATTTTGCCATTCTCTCTCCTCCAACTCCTTCCTTAAAATCCTATCTCCCCCTGCTCCCTTCTTCCTCTCACCCTCTCCTCCCTCTTCACATTGTCAGCTTACCTTCCTCCCCGTCCCATCCTCCCTTCTTCTACCCCTCTCTTTCCAATTCACTCCCCCTTTCACTACAATTTCCCTTTCCCTCCTTTTTTTCAATAATTTACTCTCCTCTTCTCCAACATTTTGCCATTCTCCTCTCTCCTCCAGCTCCTTCCATAAAATCCTATCTCCCCCCTCCCCTTCTTCTCCACCCCTCTCTTTCCTCCTCTTCATTGTCAACTTACCTTCCTCCCATCCAATCCTGTTCACAATTTCCTCCCCTTTCACAACTCCCTTTCCCCCTTTTCAATAATTTACTCTCCTCTTCTCCAACATTTTGCCATTCTCTCTCTCCTCAGCTCCTTCATAAAAATCCTATCTCCCCTGCTCCCTTCTTCTCACCCTCCTCTTTCCCTCCTCTTCCATTGTCAACCCCACCTTCCTCCCCGTCCCATCCTGTTCACAATTTCCTCCCCCCTTTCCCTACTCCCTTTCCCTCCTTTCAATAATTTACTCTCCTCTTCTCCAACATTTTGCCCATTCTCTCTCTCTCAGCTCCTTCTTAAAATCCCTACTCTCCCCTCCTCCTTCTTCTTCACCTCTTTTCCCTCCTCTTCCATTTGTCACTTACCTTCTCCCCGTCAATCCTGTTCTAATTTCCTCCCCTTTCCTCCTCCCCTTTCCCCCCCCTTTCAATAATTTACTCTCCTCTTCTCCAGCTTGTTTTTGCCCATTCTCTCTCTCCTCAGATCCTTCATCTCTCTCCTCCTCCTTGCCCCTGCCCTCTCTTCCTCCTCACATTGTCCAGCTTACCTTCCTCCCCGTCCCATCCTGTTCTAATTTTCTCCCCTTTTCACAACTCCCTTTACCCTCCCTTTCAATAATTTACTCTCTTCTTCAACATTTTGCCATTCTCTTTCCTCAGCTCCTTTCGCCGTCCCTACTCTCCCCTCCCCTCCTTCTCACCTCTCTTTCCCTCCTCCTCTTACATTTGTCAGCTTACCTTCCTCCCCGTCCCATCCTGTTCAATTTTCTCCCCCCTTTCCCAACTCCCTTTTCCTCCTTTCAATAATTTACTCTCCTCTTCTCCCAACATTTTTGCCATTCTCTCTCTCCAGCTCCTTCATAAAATCCTGTCTCCTCCTTCTTCTCTCACCCCTCTCTTTCCTCCTCTTCACATTGTCAGCTTACCTTCTCCCCGTCCAATCCTGTTCTTTCCTTTTCCCTTTCTCCTTTCCCCTCCTTTCAATAATTTACTCTCCTCTTCTCCAACATTTGCCATTTCTCTCTCCTCAATCCCTTCCCATAAATCCTGTCTCCCTCCCTCCTTCTTCTCACCTCTCTTCATCCTCTTCACATTTTGTCAAGCTTCTTTATCCCCGTCCTGTCCTGTTCTGATTTCATCCCCTTTCTTTTCTCCTTTCCCCTCCTTTCAATAATTTCCCCCCCACTCTCCCTCTTCTCCAACATTTGCCATTTCTCTCTCCTCAGCTCCTTCATAAAATCCTATCTCCCCCCTCCCTCCTTCTTCTTCTCACCCCTCTTTCCTCCTCTTCACATTTGTCAAACACCTTCCTCCCCGTCCCATCCTGTTTCACAATTTCCTCCCCCTTTTCCAACTCCTTTCCCCTCCTTTCAATAATTTACTCCTCTTCTCCAACATTTTGCCATTCTTTTCTCTCCTCAGCTCCTTCATAAAATCCTGTCTCCCCTCCCCTTCTTCTCACCCCTCTTTCCACCCTCTTCACATTGTCAGCTTCCTCCCCTCCCCGTCCATTGTTCAGCTTCTCCCCCTTCCCCTTTCCCCCCTTTCCAATCTCTCCCTCTTCTCCAACATTTTTCTCCCCTTTCTTAAATCCTATCCTCCCCCTCCCCTTCTTCTCAATAATTCCTCCTCTTCACACTCTTTGCACCCATTCTTTCTCGCCTTCAACAAAATCCTATCTCCCCCTCCTCCCCTTCTTCTCCCCTCTCTTTCCTCCTCTTCACATTGTCAGCTTACCCTCCCCATCCAATCCTGTCTGGTTTTCCCCCCCTTTTCCTACTCCTTTTCCCCTCCTTTCATTTCTCTCTCTTCTCCAACATTTTGCCCATTTCTCTCTCGCCTCAGCTCCTTCATAAAATCCTATCTCCCCCTCCTCCCCTTCTTCTCACCCCTCCACCCTCCTCTTCCATTTGTCAAGCTTACCTTCCTCCCCGTCCAATCCTGTCTGATTTCCTCCCCTTTCTCTCCCTTTTCCTCCTTTCAATAATTTACTCTCCTCTTCTCAACATTTTGCATTCTCTCTCGCCTCAGCTCCTTCATTAAAATATCTCCCCTCCTCCCTTCTTCTCCTTTTCCTCTTCCTCCTCTTCATTGTCGCTTACCTTCCTCCCCGTCCCATCCTGTTCTGAATTTCCTCCCCTTTTCCTACTCCCCTTTTCCCCTCCTTTCTGTTTCTCTCCCTCTTCTCCCAACATTTTGCCATTCTCTCTCGCCTCAGCTCCTTCATAAAATCCTATCCCCCCCTCCTCCCCTTCTTCTCCCCTCTCTTTCCTCCTCTTCATTGTCAAAGCTTACCCTTCTCCCCGTCCAATCCTGTTCCACAATTCCTCCCCTTCACTACTCCCTTTTCCCCTCCTTTCGTAATTTACTCTCCTCTTCTTCCAACTTGTTTGCATTCTTTCTCGCCTCCAAGCTCCTTCATAAATCCTATCTCCCCTCTCCTCATCTTCTCACCCCTCTCTTTCCTCCCTCTTCACATTTGTAGCTTTTCCTCCCCATCCAATCCTATTTCCACAATTTCTCCCCCTTTTCTTTCTCCCTTTCCCCTCCTTTCAATAATTTACTCTCACTCTTCTCAGACATTTGCCATTTCTCTCTCTCCTCCAAGCTCCTTCTTAAAATCTCTCCCCCTCCTCCCTTCTTCTCACCCCCTCTCTTTCCTCCCCTCTTCACATTGTCATTTCTTACCTTCCCCTCCCCATCCCCCATCCTGTTCAATTTTTCTCCCCCCTTTCACTCCTTTCCCTCCTCCCAATAATTACTCTCCTCTTCTCAACATTTTGCCATTCTCTCTCGCCTCAGCTCCTTCATAAATCCTATCTCCCCCTCCTCCTTCTTCTCACCCCTCTCTTTCCTCCTCTTCACATTGTCAAAGCTTACCTTCTCCCGTCCAATCCTGTTTGTTTTACTCCCCTTCCTTTCTCCCTTTTCCCCTCACTGTCATTCTCCTCTTCTCAACATTTTACCATTCTCTCTCTCCTCAGCTCCTTCTAATCCCTATCTCCCCTCCTCCCTTCTTCTCACCCCTCTCTTTCCTCCTCTTCATTTGTCAGCTTCCCCTTCCTCCCCGTCCATCCTGTTCACAATTTTCTCCCCCTTTCTTTCTCCCTTTCCCCTCCCTTTCAATAATTTACTCTCCTCTTCTCAACATTTTGCCATTCTCTCTTTCCTCAGCTCCTTCATAAAATCCTATCCCCCTCCTCCCCTTCTTCTCACCCCTCTCTTTCCTCCCTCCTTCACAATTTCCTCTTACCTTCCTCCCCGTCCATCCTGTTCATAATTTACTCTCCTCTTCTCCAACATTTGCCATTCTCTCCCTCCTTTCCAATAATTCCCCACTCCTCTTCTCACCCCTCTCTTTGCCATTCTCTCTCGCCTCCATCCTTCTAAAATCCTGTCTCCCCCCTCCTCCCTTTCCCTTTTCAATAATTTCTCTCCTCTTCTCCTCTTACATTGTGATCCTGTCCCCTCCTCTCCTTCCCCCTCCAATCCTCTTCACATTTCCTCCCCCTTTCATTTTCTCCCCTCTCCCTTTCCCCTCCTTTCAATAATTTACTCTCCTCTTTCTCAAACATTTGCTGTTTCTCTCTCTCTCAGCTCCTTCATAAAAATTTTATCCCCTCCCCCCCTTCTCACCCCTCCTCTTTCCTCCTCTTCCAATTTTGTCCCCCTTTTCCTTCCCCTGTTCCCATCCTGTTCCCCCTTTCCTCCTTCCTCTCCCCCTTTCACCCCTCCTCCTTTCAATAATTTCCTACCTTCCTCTTCTCAACATTTCCTCCCTTTCTCTTTCTCCTCGCTCCAACCCTTCTCTCTCTCCTCCCTCCTTATCTCCCCTCCTCCCCTTCTTCTCACCCCTCTCTTTCCTCCCTCTTCACATTGTCAGTCCTTACCTTTCTCCCCTCCCACATCCTGTTCCCTTTGATTTTACTCCCCTTTCACATTTTGCATTCTCTCTCCTCAGCTCCCTTCATGAACTCCTATTCCCCCTCCCCTTTCAATAATTTACTCTCCTCTTCCCATTTGCCATTTCTCTCTCTCAGTCTTCATAAATCTATCTCCCCCTCCTCCCCTTCTTCTCACCTCTTTTCCTCCTCTTCATTGTCAGCTTACCTTCTCCCCATCCCATCCTGTTCACAATTTTCCCCCTTTCACAACTCCCTTTACCCTCCTTTCAATAATTTACTCTCCTCTTCTCCAACATTTTCTCTCCTCAGCTCCTTCATAAAATCCTCTCCCCTCCCCCTTCTTCTCTCCCCTCTCTTTCCTCCTCTTCACATTGTCAGCTTACCTTCCTCCCCGTCCCATCCTGTTCACAATTTTCTCCCCCCTTTCTGCTCCCTTTCCCCTCCTTTCATAAAATTTATCTCTCCTCTCTTCAACATTTGCCATTCTCTCTCGCCTCAGCTCCTTCCTGTAAATCCTATCTCCCCCCCCTCCCTTCCTCCCTTCTTCTCCAACCTCTCTTTCGCCTCCTCTTCCATAAAATCCTATCTCCCCTCCTCCCTTCTCTTTCACCCCTCTCTTCTCCTCTTTCACATTGTCATTTCCTCCCCCCCTGTTCACAATTTCCTCCCTTCACTACCCTTTCCTCCTTTCCAATAGTACTCTCCTCTTCTCCAACATTTTTTTTCTCTCCTCAGATCCTTCGCAAATCCATCTCCCCCCTCCTCCCCTTCTTCTCACCCCTCTCTTTCCTCCTCTTCACATTGTCAGCTCACCTTCCTCCCCGTCCCATCCTGTTCACAATTTTCTCCCCCTTTCACAACTCCCTTTCCCCTCCTTTCAAATAATTTACTCCTCTTCTCACATTTTGCCATTCTCTCTTTCCTAGCTCCTTCATAAAAATCCTATCTTCCCCCTCCTCCCTTCTTCTCACCCCTCTCTTTCCTCCCTCTTCACATTGTCAGCTACCTTCCTCCCCGTCCCATCCCTGTTCACAATTTTCTCCCCTTTCCAACTCCTTTTCCCCTCCTTTCAATAATGCATATCCTCTTCTCCAACATTTTTCACATTCTCTCTCGCCTCCAGCTCCTTCATAAAATCCTATCTCCCCTGCTCCCCTTCTTCTCCACCCTCTCTTTCTCCTCTTACATTGTCAGCTTACCTTCCTCCCCGTCCAATCTGTTCTCTCCCTTTTCCTTTCCCCTTTCAATAATTTACTCTCCTACTCCCTTTTCCCCTCCTTTCCATAAAATCCTATCTTCCCCTTCTTCACCCCTTCTTTCCTCCTCTTCTCCTTCCTCCTTTTTTTTTTTCGTCCCATCCTGTTCTCTCTTTCACTACTCCTTTCCCCTCCTTTCATAAATCCTAATATTCTCCCCCTCCTCTCCCTTCTTCTCTCCCTCTCTCTTTCCTCCCATTGTCTTCCCTGTCCCATCCTGTTCACCCCGTCCCTATCCCTTCTCCTTTCTTCAATAATTTTCTCCTCTTTCTCCCATTTTGCCCTTCCCCTCCTTCATAAAATCCTATCTCCCTCCTCCCTTCTTTCCTCACCCTTTCTTTCCTCTCTCCTTAATTTCCTCCCTGTCCAATCCTGTTCACAATTTTCTCCCCTTCACTACTCCCTCCTTTCTTCAATAATTTACTTCCTTCTCCAAATTTTGCCATTTTCTCTCGCTAATCCCCACTCTCCTCTTCTTTCCTGCCTTTCTCATTCAGTCCTCTCCCCCACCTCCTCTTTTCCTTTCTCATTCCATGCGCGCCGCCCTCCCTTTTCAGAATATTCTCTCTCCCCCTTTTCACTATTCTCTATTCCCTTTCCTCCCTTCAATCATTCACTCTCATCCTCTCCAGCATTTTACCATTAACGCCAACCCCCGGAAGGCACAACGGATGACATGTTGTGATAACAACAACAAAGATAAGGACAATAGTCCGTATATAAATAGTGTAAATAATTTGTGTTAGCGTTGGAAGAAAGGCCCCGTCTCCTTCTCAGGGAATAATTTACTTGGGAGATCCTTTATTCCATATACAGACATACAACGGAGCCTGCTGTCAGCGTATAAGTATATAACTGGACAATCAACCCCTAAGTGGTATCTCTAGCCCAGTTCGCGTCGATGTGATCAAAAACTGAGAAAGGCTCATTGTAGGCTCAAAAGGAAATCAAATGTAAAAATAATCGAGTCGTTCGTACAGTTCAGGACTTCACAGATAACACTGCATGAACATTGGTAATTGGTCAAACAACAAACTGCGTATGGAGCTTCATCATCTTTGAGCCGTGTCATTTCAAGACATTAGACCAAACATGTGTTTAATGAGGAAGTTTTGGAGAAAATTGAAACAAAAATGAAAGTAATACATAACATCAGGAAGAGAGAGAGAGTTGAGGTTTCCCTATACACAAGCCACCAATCTGCCACTGAGCGGCATGCTAATGCCGTTTACCGCTGTTGGCCCGCTGTCGGACCGCCGGCGTCTTCGGCTCGGCAATGTTGCCACTGGCGGACCGTTAGAGGCCCTCCGTTGGCTCTCCGGTCACTACCACCAGAGGACCGCTGGCATTGCCATTGCTGGGGCGCCGGCGGGCAACTAGCGGCTTGCGTTTAGGGTAGGCCATATAATGAGGAAAGAGGGGTTGGAAAATTTGATACTCACAGGAGGGATAGAGGACAAGAGGGGGAGAGTAGAACAACACCTAATAAGCTTGACTTAATGAATTATTGGAACAGGGTTTAGGAGAAATAACAAAAAGAGAAACTTTATTAAGAGGTTGGAGGAACAGGAAGTTGTGGAGAGCCATGATCGCCTACGACCGGCTGGGACACAGTACATAAAGAAGACGATTAGGGATTGTCTTTTCTTGACCCTTCGCGAACCCGGTCCTGTTATTTACATAAGCTTTTTAAATGTGCTACTTACAGTTTCTCTCTGTTATGTGAGTGTCAAATTCTCCAAGTCCTCTCTTCTCGTTATGGGTTCTGGTAATTTCTATTGTTTCTTTCTGATTGTAAACATAAGAGTCCCTTTGATTCCAGTCTCTTATGCTGACGTGGTAAGAAATAAAAAAGAAGAATTTACTGTTATCTTAAAAAAAAATTAGAAATAAAACTATCCAACAGCTACTTCCAGGGAAGTTAGAGAGCGTTTCTAGTCGAAATCAATCTTGTCCATTTAGAAAGGCGTCCTGGGTAAGACGATAAACTACGTCCAGCAGCAAGACATCTAATCGGGAGGTTTTGAGGAGCGTGGAATCACCTCTTAATTGCTGATGTTCCCAGGTCCACCCTGACCCGGGGTGGTAGCACCTGATAGGGTCCCAGCTATGGGCAGGTAGTTAACCCCTAAACTGCTGTTAAAACACTATGAAAGTGTAAAAATAGGTTTTAATATAAGAAAAACTTTGTAAAATATTATTATCAGCAATACATTTTTGAAATAAAAAATATTACCAAAAATACGTTTTTGAAAAAAAAAAAAATTATTACCAACAATAAAATTTTGTAAAAAAAAAATATTACGAGCAATACAGTTTTGAAGGAAAAAAATATTACTAGAAATAGATTTTTGAGAAAACAAAATATTACCAGCACCAAAATTTTGTCGGCATTAAATAACCCACTGAGGTTGATATGCCGTAAAACAAAACAAACCAAAGCAAACCAAACCAAACCATTTAGAAAGCTACGATTCGTCCGTGCAATGAACACTGTTGTTATATCCTGTTGGTGAACCTGCTCTCTCTCTCTCTCTCTCTCTCTCTCTCTCTATATATATATATATATATATATATATATATATATATAATCCTGAAAAATTTCACAGAAAGGTCTGTAATGTCATCAGTTCTGACCTGGCATCTCGACTT